ATTAAAGTAAATGAGTACATGATGAATTCACTTCAGCTTAAATAAATGTTTTGAACTAAACTGTAACTGTAAAATATCACGGTAGTGTGTGTTCTTAGTTTGGAAAAGCTGCAAATGACCAAAATATACAGAAAGCTTTGCTCAAAATGTCTTCAGGGCTTCAAATGAGTTAAAATATATTTCTAAGCGGTTGCCTTGAACTGTTCTGACAGATATTCCCATAAGACACAAATGCAGCATGAGTCCACAAAGTCAGGCTCCAGTTGATTTTCAATGAAGCAGCTCCAGAAACTCTCTTGATGACTTACACAGACTGCAGCCTTTCTTCCTACTGACGACAGAACACAGAAACATGTTCAACTCAATCCATTGACCAGCCTCAACATCTGGATGCTGTGCAGTGTGTTGGAAACACCTTCGGTTTTTACTGGCATTAAATGTAAGGGTTCTACGTTATATAATATAAGAAAATATAATAAATAAAACCAAATTTCATAATTTCAGTATAGTTCCATAGATATTTTACTATTAGAACATATAAATTATAGGCTAATGGTAAAGCTGTCAGTTGCACTTTTTATTTACTGTATCCTTACAGCTGCAGTAGTCCAGTTTCCCCATGATAACCCCTGTGATTAACCTTCATTCATCAAGGAAAAGAATCTGTACTTCCACTGGGCAGCTGCCTGCTGAGTGGCAGGTTCAGTGCTTTGCTAATGGGCACCTGAGTAGCAGTTGCTGAGGAAAGGAGAGAGTGCTGGTGAAGTGTGTGCAGTGAAAGTGAATGAGGGGGTGATGAGGCTGTGTTAGAGACATTGGTGTGTGTGTGTGTGTGTGTGTGTTCAGTTATCAGGGGAGCACAGCATAGCTCTGCTGAGATTAAATTCCCAGAGCTTACTCTGGCTATCAGCATTACTTCAGGACACACGCACACGCACACACACATTAACACACACAGAAGGAAAGCAGAGTGGTTGGAAAGAAAGCTGCCATCGCTACATTTTCATTCACAGAAAATATCTACATCGACAGTATGCCCGCTGCTGATATCACCACTATTAATCCCCACCAATCCATCCATCTGTCTGTCCGTCTGTCCATCATCTAGCTGCCGCTTTTCTTCACTTCTTTCTTTATTTCTTTCAAAAGTGTGTTTAACTATTTTATTGTTATCTATAAGCATTGCAGACTAACTAACAGCTGCCATCTCTAATCTTTGAACAAAGGATATCATCGTGAAGCTGGAGATCAAAGATCAGATCAGATAGAAATTTGTTCAATATTCAATATTGTTCAAAGTCCGACTGAAGTTTGAATTCTCTAGTTTTCTATTTGTGAATAAGTGGATAAAAAAATGTTTTATACATATTTGTGGAAGCTTCAAGCAGTTGACTGACATCTGAGAGCTGGTGTAGCTGCTGTCAACGTTGTGGTTCGCTACTGACTGAAGTAAAGTCCTGGGTTCAAATCCAGGCTGGGGCAGGGCCTTTCTGTGTGCAGTTTCAATGTTCTCCCCAAGCTCTGATTTCCCTAAAACGGATCGACCAAAGCTCAGATCTGGAGTTGGTCCCCTGGCGCCTGCACTGCTCCTAGCAATACGGATGGGTCAAATGCAGAGAGTGAATTTCCCTACGGGGATCAATAAAGGATAACTTTGTATTAAACCTGCTGAGTCATCGGCAGCCCCTCACAGTTCAGTGTGGTGTTCGTCCCACATTATTGAAAGGAGAGGAGCAGCAAGCAATCCCTTTCATGGGTAAACCTGCGTTGATGACAAATAGCCAGATTGTCAAATCTAACACCAATGGGTAGTTTTGTAACCTCAGTGCTCTTTGGTTCAAATCATGACAAAGAGTAACGTCCAGAGTTACCAACTAACGTGTTTAAATCAAACAAATAAATTAGTGTTGTTCCGATATTGATACCAGTATCGGTAATGCCTCGGATACTGTCTGAAATGTGGAATTTGGTATTGGCGAGTATGCCCGTCTGATACCAATCTGATACCACATCATAGTCTATACCATTATTCCCCATTTTTCCCCCAAGATTGCAAAGTCATGACCTGCCCTACTCTAACTCTGACCAGCCAATAAGAGGCCGGGTTGGGGCGGGTCACGTGTGGGTACAGGTGCTGGCAACTACTGTTTTAGAGCAGCGAAGAAGAGTTGATTTCTGGTAGTGTAACTTAGTTAGCCAGAGCGAGCTAAATGAAAAAAAAAAGGGAAAGTTCAATGGCATTCATTTATTCATACAGTTAAAAAATTATATATTTCTACAGTAGCCTATATTATGTATTTTTTTAAATTAACTTGGATTGGTACAATATACAAAGTTTCAATTCAACTATTCGACTGTTCAACTAATAAATAAAGGTTTCACTATAAAACAACTTGTGACCTTTAGTACAACATTCCTGTTTCACAGCGGCAGTAAAGATTGTTACTGACGTGGCCGACCGCAGCACAATGGCAGTGGCAGACTCACCTGTGTGTGACAGGTAGTGTCGTACTCTGTTCCTGCTGCACGCTGGGAAATAAATCCTGGATGTGTTAATTACCTCGTCTGACCTGGTTTCCCTCCGTGTGAATGTCTAGCGTGACAGACGGAGACAGAGACAGTGATCTGTGGCGTGGGACAGTGTGTGTGTGTGTGTATACTGTATACATGCGTGTGTGTTTGTCGTAGTGACAGCTCTGTCAGTTATCTTCCTGCGCTGACAGACAATGCACATGTCAACCAGCAGTCCCAGCGCACACAATGATCACATCTACGTATACTGCTGTAACACACACACACACACCTAACCTGTCAATCATTTTGTCTGGTATTCCCACTGCTCTCTCTTGCTTTTTGCTCCTCCCTTCTTCCCATTCTACCTTCCTCTCCCCATCCCTCCACTCTGTCTTTCATCATTCTGTTATTTTTTCTTTTCCTTTTAAGAAACTGTCTGTTGCCCTGAAACTGGGTCTTTTTTTCCCTCCCATGGGTCTCCGTGATTTTCTTCCCCTCTACCTCTCTTTCCTCTCATTGCCTCTCCGCTCTTTCTCCCTCCCACTCACATCTTTGCTGACGGATTAAATGTTGAAGGCAAGGTCTGGTAGAGAAAAAGAGAAAGTCTCTTTTAATTGTGTTGATCGCTAATTAGCCGGCCCGTCTCATCTCTCGGCGGTGGATGTGGTAAAACAGGATGCCCTTTCCTGGGTCAGCAGGCCACAGCCTCAGGCATAACTTGTACTCACACACACTCACATATGCACACACACTACTTTGTACTTCTAAGATTTGAGTTTGAGCTGCTAGCTTGTAGATTTCTCAGTGGAGGCTGGTGACTGAAAAAGTTTAGGAGGGCAGGGTGAATCGGTAACTGTGCAGTGAAAGGAGGTTTTAGCTAAAAATACATGGTTATGTAAGGAGAATGCTCCAAAAACCTGGGTTTCACCCCACTCTTTATTCCCCACAGACCACTCTCCCTTGCTTCCAATCATTCTTATCATTGTTTACTGTCAGCTGTCTCATATTTATGCCACGAGAGGACATCTTGAATTATTTCCACAAGCAATAATTCTGGCTCTTAAGACAGAAAACCATAGTTCATAGCTGGAGTGTAGGAATGTTGAAAGATTAAAAGCAAATTTTATTGGGATCCGTCCAATGACACTGTGACAGGACATAAACGTATTTGTCCTTTGCAGTGTGCTGTGGTTCAGTGGGTACAGCGTGTCATAAACACTGCCTGGATTAGGACTTCAATTCCCACAGGGCCCACCTATGTTAAAAATGAATGCACTCATGAATGAAAGTACCCAGCTAATGGTATATGTTACATCATATTGACCTTATTATAAATAGAAAAACCTGTAAAAGGCTTGCCTTTTCAAGCTCTGGCTAATATTGTAGAAACACACAATTTATTGTCCGTGCTGTGTTCAGCTTTTTGTGTGAGTTGGTATATAAAGATTTAAGACATTCATTTAATTTCATTATTTACTGGTGGTTGTTTTTCGGCCTCTGCGGTCGACTCGTTCCTATTTCCACAGTATAAATAACACAGGCTGTACAAAGGAATACTTAAATATTCTTATACACTGTTCGGTTGTAATTAATATACACAAAATACCTTTTAAAATATATTTAAATCCGTTCTTTGTTCTGATCTTGAATGCACAACTTTGTACTATTCCTCATGAATCTTGAAGTATATTGTCTTTGGCTGATCTTCTATTTAATCAAACTTTCCTGCAGTTACAGATACAAGGCATAATCAATGGGCCTTAGCTTTGAGAAGTGTCTGGATTATATAAGGACCAGATGTATAGTGTGGGTTAAGGACTTTATGGGAGTTTGAAGTAAAAGATAGATAGTAAAAATAAATAGTTAACCTCAGTGCTGAGCTGATTCAAAGAGACAGAAAACTCTTAGGTCACCGTCTATGTGTTTAATAGAGAAAGGATTATCTGGATATTAGTTTCGGTGGGAGAAGGCATGTGTTGGAGGTGAGGTAAATAGTGACTGGAAAGGAAACCGTATCATATCCAAAGAGAGAGAGAGAGAGAGAGAGAGAGACAGGTTTGATAAGTCATCAATGTCTAAATATTAGTAGTTAACTTAAACAAACCATTAAGCTCCATTAATCAAGTGTGATATTTTTACCTACATTACTTTTCCTCCTGTTTTACAGAAACCATTGTTTCTTGCTGTCACTTTAAAAGATACACCAAGATTCAGTTTTTATCTCATTTTCTTTCTTGCTTGTTAAGTGGAATTTGAGTCATTTTCAGACAGTGCAATGGCATGATTTACTCTGTTATTCTCCTTTACCAGCTACCCAGCTTCTCTAATCACGCTGCAGGAAAAGAATTTAAGCCAAAACCCTTCGCAGATCCAAAAAATGACTTGTTAGCAATACTCATTAGAAACCAGCAGGTCTCGCTGGTGCCAGGCAATGTGTCGGCCTCAGTGGGGGATGCTAACAAGCCTTTCTCTTTGTGTCCTTCCAGTCATCTGGAGTCGGAGCGCAGCGCCCTGAAGAGGAGAGAGTGGGAGAGGAGGAACCAGGAGGTCCAACAGGATGAAGACCTGTTCTCAACTGGATTCAACCTTTTTGGAGAACCTTATAAAGTAAGTGTGGTTGATTAATAATAAATGAATTAATAGTTGATAATGTATACATAGTTTGCAGAAATACACTTATTTGCTTTCTTTCTGAAGCGTTAGATGAGAACTTTGAGATATTGAGACACTAAAATAAAGACATTTTTATTTACAGCTTAAGCAGCAAATGAACATTTTTACATTTCTGTTTGTGTACAAATGAAATGAGTGAAATAGAACATGTTATTTATTTTGCTGTAGAGGTAATGGTAGGCATATTTTTTGGACTTAAGAGTTAACCACGCTAACGTTAGCTGTGTTAGCTGTTTCCCGCGGTCTGGGTCTATTTATTTTTGGGAGGGCGATGGGATTTTAACATTATGCATATGTGGGTCATTTTTCACCCCCACCCCGGTAATAATTACCGCCACAATTACCTCGTGTTTTTCAGCCAACTCGCTTGGTTTTCTTACAGGGACGTCGTTGTGTCTTATTTATTGAAATTTTACTTCCGTCTGAAAATTTAGTAAGCCAAAAATGTTTCTGCTAATCTGATGGCTGGAAACAAGGTAACATGCTAATATATCGGCGTATTTGGGAACAGAAATGACCACAGATGAAAAGCTGAAGCTGTCAGGCGAGCAAGACTCTGTAAAAGTTTTTAAAAAAAACATGTAAATGCGTTGTTGTAACGTCGGCTTTCAGCGCTGGAATTTTTAACTTTTTAACCCTTGTTCTTTTTTTCTTCTTTTTTTCTATATTTGTTGTGGGAGACTGGAACCATTAAAAGTATGCAGAATTAGCTATTAGCATCCTGTTTGCAATGTGCCCAGCGGGGTGCAATGCATGTACAGACAAATGGATTACTTTGATACAGAGGAAAACACGATGATTCTGATGAGTTACAAGGAACATCTTTTTTCTATGATTTCTAAGCAGTTTAATGAGCGTTTCTGATCCTCAGTCAGTGTATGTCACACTTAATGATATCCATATCTGTTCTGTCTGTCTGTTTAGAGTTGACTGTGTTATGACTCAGAAAAGGGGTCTAATCTTTGACAGAAAATTCACCTCACGCAGTATCTTTACCTCACGTCCCTCCCTCCGGCTTTTGACTTTGTCCTGCTGTAAGTCCATGTCTATTACAAACCATATCCTGTAATTTCCTGACGGTTAAAATGCCTTCTGGAATGGTGAGTTAAATTACGGAGGAGCACAGTGAATATTTCATTCTCTACCTCCCCCTGTAATGTTAATCCCGTCCAAATAGGGCTTAAGATAGGTTATTCGCCTTCCAGCTCCGTAGATAACAACACCGCGGTCTTCTGATCTGACTCATAAAGAGAGAAACTTTTTTCACTTTGAATCTGAAACAACACATTTTACAACTATCTGTTTAAATTTAAGGACTGAAACACATAGCAATCTGTAAGCGGACGTCAGTAATCTGCACACAGCACGCGCTCAGCTTTACAACCTGGCTGAGCTGTGATTCTTTAGGCCGAGTGCTGCTTTCTCATTGCTGTTTAGGAGGCAGTTTTATACTTCGCTGTGAAGTTTTGATTGATCTCCGCGGGAGGAGAATGGACATGCCTGACACCAGAATTTCATTTGGGCGAATGGAGTGAATTTACGACGTCTTAATCAGCGAGGATGGGCCACTCTCCTCTCAAGCAGCCCCGCTTTGTGATTTAGGCTCATACGAGACAGTTTTGCCTTGTGCAAGTAATCAATTGAAAGGAATTGTTATTGCTAACTAACAATTATCCAAAACATTTTTTGTACCATAATGCATTTCAGCGTTGTCTTTGTGGGTGATAAAGCTGATGATGGCCTATGGATCATTTGTAACCATTTTTTCCTCATGCTGTCCTCCTGAGGCCAATTGTGTAATATCCCCAAGCATAAGGTTCTGGTCTGTTCTGATCTAAGGCACTTGAGATGCCATTATTTTGTTTCTTCTTTAGCTGAAAGTGAACTAGCCATGCATGAAGTCCATTGACACTCTCCTGCCCCTGTGTATAAAATTGATTTTGGTTTGTTAACTCTCATTTGCTACCGCAAGGCACTTCAACACTTGGTTATGCCGCCAAGTGTATCGACCTTGGGACAGACTGGCTTTGAGTCTTGACAGAATGTGTTTAACTGCTGCTGTGTCTGAACGCAGAGGACACGGGGGCTTCTCACTAAGACGCTGCTCGAGGTTTCGGGGGCGACGGCAGCACAGGAGAGGTTGTTCTGATAATGAATCTAATCCTAGGTGCCTCCATACTCCAACTAATTGTTTCCAACTAATTAATGGTGGCGAGGTGAGGTCAAGATGTGTGTATGTGAGGCGAGCGCAAGGATGACAGGGGACTGGGCTGTGTGAAGGGTGATATTTCACACCACTGCTGCAATTTAGATGCATTTTGTGGAGATGATGCATTTTTGCTTTAAGGGATTTAAATGATTAAAGTGGTTGGAGATTGTTTCTTTACTTTTTTTGTTTTTGTGCACGTATTCTGAGAGCAAATTTCATGTTTCAGGTGTGCTTAATCAGGCATGATCATCAATTAGGTGACAGATTATGGAGGTGAAATAGAGGATTCATGTGATCAAAAGCTACATAAACCTCAATTTAGGGCTGGTTAACATTTAAAGTGTCTGTAATCTGCTCATAAATGACTAGTGTGTAGAATTTAGGAGGATCTATTAGCAGAAATGGAATATAATAATAATTATGTTAATTATCAACTGAATATAAAAATCAATGTATTTTAATCAGCTTAGAATGAGCCCTTTATATATACATACAAATACAGAAAGTATAGTCGTTCAATGATCAGCCACACCTCATCTTATACTAAAACATAATTTCATCTCGACAAGTAAGAACAGTACGTTTTGGTCCATAAAACCAAAACAAGGAGCTGAAAGATGCTTAACTGCAGAGTCAGTTTCATAACTACAATGGACCCCTCTACAAGAATATAATATAATATTATTATCATTTAAAGCTCCAGTGTGTAGGATTTGATTCAAACCCCCTAACTTCACCCTCCCTTTCCAAGCATGTGAAGAAACTGCTGTGCCTGTGAAACCCGCAAAGAATGTGAGCAACCCTCAAAACATACCTTTAAATATTATATTCCATTGCTGCCAATAGATCTTCCTAAATCCTACATACTGGTCATTTATGTTTATTATAAGTGTGAGTATACAATTTAGATACAGTAACTTATTTGTGTGTATCAAACCCTTTTTGGATTCTTTCACATACCACCACCTGACTGAAGTATGCTTCTGTGCACATAGTTTCTACATCGCTCATTAATTAATAACAATAATTAGCTTATTAATATAACGTTACTATAATTGAAGGTGAAAATAATCAAAAAAATATTATAAATCTCCGTACAGGTTCCCAGTTTATCTCTCAGTGCTGCTTAACTTGAAAAACAGCTTTGGCACACCTTGCCACTTTCTTCTGCTGATTTATTTGCCACACTAACAATTTCTTTTTTTTATTTTTATATTTTTGAGGGTGTTGCTTTACTTCATACAATTCAGTGGATTTACCACAGCCTCTACAACCTCTCTGCACTTTCTCTGTGTCTAAGTGCTGACTGAACTTACTGAACAGCTCCCTTAGAGATCAATATCAGCCCTTTTTCATTATCACATAGGATTTATAGAACTTTTATCGCTCCCGCTCTCTCTCGTCTTCATTTTTTTCTTCCATCAGTCTTTCTCTGTACCTGTCTATCCATCGTGTGTCCGTCACTCTGGTTCTCTCTGTCTTTCCCTCTTCCTCTCTCCAGTATTCATACTCTCTGTCAGCTATTAGCTAATCCCTCTTCTAATCCTGTTAAAGAGCGTTATGCTGTTAGCAGCTATTTGGGATGATCTATTCACACACACTCATACACACATAGGTATTCATCCTCTCTTTCTCCTCTGTTTTCCATTTTGCCTCTCTGTAAATGTGTTTTCTGTTCCTCTTCAGCCACCAGATCTTTTATTCATGAGCCTGAGATGGAGAAGAGATGGGCTAATTTATTCACAGCTAACTTTGGCTCGCCACGGTGTGTAGTGTTTGTGTGTGCGTGTGTACACACAGAAATTACATCTTTTAAGATTATTTGAAAGCAATTCTCTCCCTTCTTATATGAATCTTTTGTAAATAAGGCTTGATTATTTGCCCTGTTTCATTTTTGGGGTATTTTCATGGTTTTCCTTCTTTGGGTGTAAAAAAAAAAGAATTATGCTGTGAAGAAAGACATGATAGAAGAGATGAATGTTGCCTCCAGTCACAGAGATATGAGTTTAGGTTTCTGTGGACATAACCACAAGGGAATTTTTTGAAGAAATGCAGAAATATTCTTTCAGTCTGTGTTCTTAGTCCTGTGCAAATGTGCCCTGTCCTTAATCTGTAAAGTACTAATTCCAACACACATTACGTGCTGTATTTCATCAAACATGAAGTCATCTGATGACACTGATCCCATCTAAGTCGGCATCTCAATAATTTGAGGTTGTTAGGTGCAAATGTAGGAGAAGTCATGTCTCAGCCGCTAGATAATCCCTGAGATTGGGTCCGTAACTTTGGGTGAAACAGAACCATCCATTATCTTTTACAAATGCACTCAATGTAACACGGTGTGGTCACATGAGGTCCCCAAGGAATTCATCCAACACAAATTGGGCTTTACTCTAGAGCTTAAACAATTAGCCTATTAATCAATTAGTTGACTGAAAGAATATTGATTGATGTCTATTTTGATAATTCATTAATAGTTTCAGTAGCCATGGCATTGTCTGTAGAGCCACCACTTCTATCTAGACTAAAGGACTTTCAACAACTATGGGACTGATTACCGATACAGATATTCATGCTAATGAGTTAAGTAGTTCCCTGATTTTTCCTCTAGCTCCACCAAGAGGTTGACTGGATGGATTGCCATGAAATTTGGTGCAGACATTGAGGTTGAATTATGATAACTTGCACATTTAAAAAAAAAGGGTTAAAGGTTTTGCTAAAACACTAAAAGAAGATAAACATGGTAAACATTATACCTGATTAACATCAGCATGTTAGAATTGTCATTGTGAGCATATTAGCATGCTGATCTGTAAGTACAACCTCACAGAGCTGCTAGCATGGATAAAGACTCTTGGTATTCTTTAGAGCCCGACTGATTAACTTGAATTCATTGAGCTGGAATGAAATTAGACCTTTCCTATGCAGATTGTGCACTGATTTTGCACTGATATGACTCTGCAGATGTACTCAGAAGGCTGCTTTCTTTAAAATTCTTTAACATGTTAAATAATTTAACATATATATTGTCAACCAGTTCTAGCTGACATTGCTGAGAGCTGCTTTTCTCTTATTCTGTGCTGCTTGCCACAGTATTGTACATCGCAGTGCAAAAAGCTGGATGATGTTTGCAGTGACACCAATTTATTAACACAAGCATTTTTCTGTATTATATACCAGAAATGAAACTGTCTTCATTGCAAATATACGCCAATACAGTATCGATATGTCGGTCAACCGATGTATTGGATGTTTCATAGACTAAACGATTAATCAGTTAAACAAGATATAATTGACAGATCACATTTAATATTTCTGGTACTTCAACGTTCATGGAGGTTGTGTGAAGGTCGCCATCCATTTCAGTTTCACCCGGTTCATAAACTACTAAACCAATCTGATTATGAAAAAGGGCATCACAATATAACAATTAGCATCAAATCATGCTTACATTGTCCTCCATTAGAGGAAAGGCAAGGGTGGTCTTATACTAATTTGTAAGGTTGTGAAGTGTCTAACACACAAACAAACACGCACACTCAGAACTCCCTCCTGAGCAATAAGACCTCTCCATGGATCATTGCCTGTTATAACAGCATTATTTGGTTATTGACTGAAGCTGTTTTGCATAGGAAAACAAGTGATGTACAAGATGTGTGATTTTATTCTTCTGACCACTGTGACAGTAAATCAACCCTGACAGCCTCACACAGATCTGCATGATCAGTGTTAAGTTCCACTACAATCAGTGTGGAGATTATTCATTATTATTACATGTAACTTCATCCTCTTTCCAGAAATATTACCCAAGATTAGTTAAGCACCTACTTCCTATGAACATAAATTCATTATTCATGAATTCATTAACCTCTCCAAATACAGGCAATTTCACCCTGTCTTGAAAATTAGATAAAGGGTCTTACTCACTCCTACTAATATGTTTCAACCTTTAAACCTATTGTGGCTTTATCTGATGCTGCCACTCCATGTTGCCACGGGCGTAATTGGACTACAGGCTGTCAAATACTTGGATCTATTGACCAAACCACAAAAGTTATGTAAAATTACAGGGCCACATTTAACATTGATCTTAATCAGTGTTTCCAGTGTTCATCATTTGTCTGTTATTCATGATGAAATGTCACAATTAAATTACAGGCTGTAGATCTTGCATAATTCAGACTTGACTCATGATTAATATTGCTTCACAATTTGTTGCTCAGGTAGAAAAGAAATGTCAGAATGGATAAAAATCTACAGGTCTTCACTTTCTGCTTCTCTTTCATGGCTTTTTGCAAGAATTTTGTTCCAAATATAGAACTGCTGAACCCGCTGCTGATTGCCCTTGTCCTTTGAAAAATGCCAAATGATCAAATCATGTAGTTTCATCATTAAAGAAGCTGTCAGTGACTGACACAAAAGGTACTCCTGAGCTATTCTGAGGAACATCTCAGCATTACCACGCAGCAGCTGAAGGTGCTATACCATCGTATATCAGTAAGGCACGCACTGTCCTCCAAGCGATGATTGCTTGAGAATCTGGGGTCAGGCTAATAATGATTCCTGCCCCATTAATTTTACTGCTCCAGCCTGGACTGGACCCTCTTAAGGGTGGCGTGTGTTTAATTAATCATCTCATCCTGATGTCTGGTCAGTGGTCACCCTATCCGTCTCTCACTGTTCCTCTTCGGATGAATAAAGAGGGCTTTTCATCAAGCCTAGAGAAATGGAAAAATGGAAGACTTAATTAATAGTCTTTCTTCCTCCCTCTTGTCTTTTTCTTCTTCCTTTTCTCCTTTCAGACTAATAAAGGTGATGCGTTGGCCAGTCGCGTCCAGAACACGCTGGGCTCCTACGAAGAAATGAAAGACCTGTTAACCAGCCATTCTAACCAGAGCCACTTGGTGGGAATCCCCAAAGGCAGCAACAATGTGCAGACCCCGACCACTTCAACGATGGAGAGACCCACCATGGAGTCCCAGCTTTTCACCGAAGCCCTGAGAGGAGGAACAAGTGGAGGAGGAGGAGGAGGAGGAGGAGGAGGAGGAGGTGGAGGAGGAGGAGCAGCAGAAGGAGGAGTTGGGGACAAAAGGATGGGAAATGCATCTTCCTCATCTTCAACTTCCATGCAACCTCCTGCCTCGACCACATCATCGTCAAACACCACAACGGTCCCACATCAGAATTCGAAAAAGTCACGGAGCTCCATGGACTGGTCAAGGGCAGGCCACGGACAGAGTACCCAAGGAACAGGCCTCGTTCTGGGGTTAGGACAGAACGGGCAGGGGCAGGTCACAGCAGCTGCGAGTGGAAGAGGGAAAATGACTTTATTAGAGGAACAGAGGCATGAAGAACTGTTTAGCTCGCTTAAAGATGAACTCGGTCTGAAAGGAGACTCAAGCCCTTCTTCCTCCTCTTCGTCCTCCTCTTCCTCTTCCTCTTCTTCTCGGAGAAGGCACTCTTCCCACCCCTCCAAAACCCTTCCTCTCCCAGGTGAGTCCCACATAGAAAGGCTTCAAAGAACTGGGTCATTTTGGGGAATTAACTTATGTGCTTTCAATTTAAGAGTTTCATGAAAGGATCGATAACACTGACATGTTTGTACGTTAAATATAAATCTAGAGCCAACAGCCGGTTAGCTTAGCCTAGTTTAGCATTAAAACTTAAATTTCTGAAGGTGGTATGGTCCCACACACTGACAGTCTCCCCACAGACGCACTCACACACAGGAGAGTTAGCCTCTCTGAGCTGTAAGCTTACCTACAACACGGGTGTCACAAAGAAACTTTTACAAGCGGCTGTGAATATGCTTCTAGTGACTGTAAAAGCTCCGGCGGACTCTCTGCTTCCAGTGCAGACACGGAGAGTCTGACAGCAGCTTCTCATAAGCTCCGACTACAAGCACTGACTTCTTGTTACACTGAATGTGGTCAGTCTGTTGATCACTCCGGTCCGTGTCAAGACCACGCCCCCTAAAGTGGCTGTCCTTTGTGGGGGGATCTAGCAGAATTAAGGGGTGTAGTATACTTTAACAGTGTTGAATATCTCAGAATTTGGTTCATCAAACTTGCCATTCACACAACAAAAAAAGGACTTCTTATGTTTGATATTCATGGAAAATTTTGTATGTACTTGTTGGAACCATGAGTGCTTATGAATAATTTCAGTGCAAAACAGACTCTATCACCTTTTGGGCGGGATTTATGAAAATTAACATCTGCATCCGATGATAACCACATCTTTCAGTTGATTTCTAAACCACCAAGCAACACATAATTTGCTTTGATTGTGATTGGCTCCATCCATCTGGGAGAGGGATTTTTCTTGGCATTCAACCTTCATTAGATTTTGACAGTGCAGCGCAAAGTAATATTCTACAATAACAGGTGTTGCTTTGGTTATTTTTCACTTTCTTTTTGGGTTTTCTCCTTTTTCCTTCTCTTCACACAGATGGTGGCAATTTTCGATCTTCCACCATCGACAGTGGCCATTTTAAGTCTTCCACTAACACAGAAAATGGTGGACATTTTAAATCCTCCCCATTTGAAACTGAGACGGGTTCTCACCTGTCTACATCGTCCTCCCCGCTGGCTTCCACATCAGTTCTGACGACGCCTACTCCTGGTCTAACCACTCCCACTTCTGGACTGACTACCCCCACCTTCCCACCTGGTAGCCTATCAGGGAAGCCGATCGCAGTGCAGCAGAAGCCCACAGCATATGTTCGACCAATGGATGGCCAGGACCAGGCGCCTAGTGACTCCCCCCAGCTTAAACCCCCCCTAGTGGCCACAGAGGGATTTAACAACAGTCAGGCTTTCGGAGCAAACTCCGGGAATGTGAAGAATAAACTGCCGAAACTGAGTCTCAGCCACGCAGGCGAGGTAAGAGAACGACCTTCCAAACGTAGTTTAGTAATGAATGGTGTGCTGGTGTACTTTGAGGTTTCTTAGACCAAAAAGTATGCATATGAAGGAAAACTGGTATCGGTTCCATGTCGGTTTTGTTTTGTAGTTGTTACAGTGTGATCAATACAGATTCCCCAAAAGATATAAGTATTGTTAGCTACACTAAACCTATCATTAAGCCTGCTCAATATCATATATAGACTTTTTAAGACTGTGCAATTCCCCACAGACACCCTGAATAAAGATTAGTAGGGTGACTAGCAAGGATAACAAATTTTCTTAAATAAAGAATTTAATTCCTAACTTCCCAATTAAAGAAGACGCTTTTATAATATTTCCATATATATTTGATTATGAGGAATAACCCTTTGAGATGTACTATCTCATTTTCAAGGGGGTCCTCAACCAAATGTGACGAAAACAAACAAAATCATACAGAGACAAAACAAACAAAAAAAGAAACCTAAATAGTTACAAACCAGTGGACAATATTTTTTGTAACATTATGTTTCAACAGGAAATACATACAATTTTGAAAGAAACATTATTTTGACAGCCAAAATATAGTTTAATTGCTCAAAAACAAATTTAAAAACCATAGTTTCTTTAATTTAACTATCTATTATTAAAACTTTTAGCATTTAAATGACTGAATGCAGTGTTACTTATGCTGGAGACATGAATGCTGAAATAAACCCCTCATTCCTTAAAGGCACCTAACATTATTCCAAGAATATAAATCACACCTGACAAAAATAGAACCTAAAATGTATTCATGAGCGTTTGGTTGAGTTGGATAACAGTGACACATACTGTCTGGGCTTCTGATGTTGTGGGTCGACTGCATGTTTGCAGGTTTGCGATAACAACAGCAACTCTCTCTTTTTCAAATCCAGTACTGTGTTTTATTTCCATAAATGATACATTGGGTGAATATTTACACATTAAGCTAATTGTAATGTCAAATGAAACTGACATTACAAAACTCCTCCACAAGTCACTCTCTGAGTCACTCACTTACTCTCCAACCTCCCGCTCTCTCTCTATCTATCTCTCACTCACTTTCCTTTTTCAAAACCGCAAGAAACACCAGGCTTTATGATGTGTGTGTGTGTGTGTCTGTGTACTGTATGTGTGCTGTGTGAAACTGGTTGACAGGCGAGTAGTCATCCATATCGAGCAAGCCAGCTGTTCCTGTGCTTTGATAGAGCTGGTGTGTGTGTGTGTGTGTGTGTAGCACTCCAAATGAGCCCGAGATGGAGCTTTGAGCATATGGCACCGAGAAGGAGAAAGCAAGGGAGACAGGGGAGACAGGGACAAAATTAAAATATACTTTACTTTCAACACTTTCTTATGGAGGGTGAGAAAGACAGAAAGTACATTCATGGCCGTGAGTGGTTTCTTTCACTTTGTTTCACCCACACATCCATGGATATCGCTTGCTTGCTGTTTAGTTTTCACTTCTCTCATATTTATTCTGGCGAGAGTTTGTTGGAAGGAAAATGTAAACTCAATACTGACTGAGGGGGAGGAAGAGAGGGAGAAAGCGGGGAGACTGATGATGGGAGATGGAGGGGTGGTGGAGGGGATGAGGCAGAGAGAGTTAGGAGGGATAGAGGAAGACAATGACTGACTGATTACACCACCTTATCATTGCTGTATTTGTTCTGGTTAGATGAGTTATTGGATGTGTTCTGCAGCTTAAACAGCAAATAGCAGCAAATCAGAGGATTGAACCAGACACCAAATACAAGACTTCAGAGAGGCCTGATGCTCATTTTATGCCAGAAAACAACAAGGGTTCCTACGCAGTATGAAAAAGTATGGAATTTGATTTTAGTCATTTCCAGGTTTAGATAGTATGGAAAAAAGGAGTTTTGTGTATTTGTGTTTCCAGACTATTGCCCTTTTTCTAAAATATAAAATTCAGAATATCAGAAAATAAATTAATCATACAAGCAAAGTGTTTATCATGGCGTATGCTACAACTGCCAGCGGTCTCTATATACATAAAACCACCAACGATTAAAATGTACCCGCGTCTGTGATTTGTTCATTTTTAACAGTGGGATAACCTAATGGGAGCACCCCACTGTCCCCACACCACCAGCATTTAACTTTACCTTGAATTATGTAAGTGTGGCAGCTGAGTGCGGTGCAGTTTCCTCTGTCACATTAGCTGCTCCAGGTTACACCAAACATCTATAGTAAAAAGTGTATCTGTAGTCATATCCCACATCAAATATTTTGTTACAGAGGTGGTTTGGTCCGACTGCTTATTTTCAGGAGCACAGAAGCTGCTGAAATATTACAGGAATATTAATAGGAATACTACAGACAGCTGTGTGTCTCCATGGTCCTCTCTCTCTTCGGTGACTACATGGTGCTTACTTGTCACCTTGATCATGAAGGTGACATTACTCCATAAAGCATACAGTATATATAGTGTAGAATAGAGTATATATAGGATATAGATTAGATAATATTATAGATCCAAGATTAAACTTTTATTTATTTGGCAACATAATAGCATACATAGTCAAAACACATAGTAAAAAACTATTTATTTGCACAATTTTTCTACTCTGTCAAATATCATCTGAAAAATCCACCAAGCTTGACTCAGCAAAAGTATGGAATTTTTCAAAAGAAAATGTCCACATTTTACCCTTTTATTAGTGAATGTGGGAACTGAAAGTGTAGTAACAGTGGTCCTAATGTGTTACATTAATGCAAAACCAATAAAAGGAATTCCTGTGGAGTGAATCAGTGTGATTGATTTTCCATTTAACGGTTTTCAAATTAGTTCAGGTGCCATGAATGTGTTTGAAATACTCAATATGTTGCTCACAGTTCTGTTGTTGAGTGTTCAGAGGTTTTGTGTGTGTATGTTAAGGGTGTGTGTGTGTGTGTGTGTGTGTGTGTGTGTGTGTGTGTGTGTGTGTGTCTGTGTGCGCAATAAGCCTTTAAACTGCTGTGGAAGCTTTCTGTTAGCACTATAGAATTATTGATTGGAGCCCTTTACTCGCAAGTGTGTGTGTGTGTGTGTGTGTGTGTGTGTGTGTGTTTGTAAGAGAGAGAGAGAGAGAGAGAGAGAGAGAGAGAGAGAGAGAGAGAGAGAGAGGGAGGGAGAGAGTGGTACTGTAATACTATTGATCTTTTACTAACGGTTACAGTAGGCTTAAATTTACTGCTGGACACACACACACACACACACACACACACACACACATTTAGTTGCTGTCGGCAGCTCAAAGTGAGGCACTGCATGATTTTACCTTAGAATGATCCAGTTGAGTTATTATGATGTTTAGCTATTATTACTGTGGTTTTAACAGCATGTCGATATCTGCTGTGTCAAATGCATCAGACCTAAAAGAGAAGAATAAAGAATTATTAAAAAGCAAAGTTAACACTTAAAGCCTGTGAAAACTTCGCTTCAAATTTTTAGGATTTCTTTTTACGCATTTCATAGTACAAATAGTCTTGAACAATAATGTGTGTCTGTTCTCATTTCTACATTAAACTCCTTCAAGCTTCTACATCACACTTTTATAAGTTGCATATAGGATGGACAGGATGTCACCAATCATCGATCTGCACAGTGACGCTCAAATATCAAACTGTACGAACAAGCAGAAAAACATACTGTATATCTTTTAGTGGAGCAGAACTTAACTTATTTATTAGAAGTTTAACACTAATCTGTTTCATCAGGACTGTGTGGGTGTGGTTTGATCAGATTTGATGACCAACTGTTATTCAGATGTTGCTAAATCCTGATTGGTTGAAGTACATGATGTCACTTTTTCTTCTTCTTCTTTTCATACCATTGAAAAGACAAATAGATATCTCAAACGTGAAATAACCCAAATAGTTTGAACTTTGGGAGAAATTAGTGTGTTAATATGAGAGAATAGGTTGTCAGGGCCTTTAAAGCAGAATTAATTACTCTTTTGGCCACTTGGGGATAGCTCCTGCTGAGGCTGGAAACAAGGTTGATGAGAGCAGTGAGGCTGAACCGAAACAGTAAAGTTGCGGGCTGTAAAACTAAAACACTGAGCTGAAAGATGGTAAAATGCATGGTAGATCTGAGGGGAACTGCTGAGTCAGGTGGTAATTCATTGTAGGATTGTCCCTACGAGTGACCCTGTCCACATTACATGTAGTCATTTGATCCATTGTTTTAAGAAATTGCAGCTTTAAAGGTTATATATGTAAGATTTAGAACATTAATTTAGCAGCAAACATCTGAAGTCATTGCGTCCTGAGCAGAGAATAACGTCACACTGTCTTTGTCTGTGTTGGTACATGCATAAAATTACCTCTTTTGTCTGCGGAGTCTGGTGGTGTATGACAACATTATAGCTGTTTCTGGTTAAAAAGAAGGTATATGTCTGTAGGGATCATTTCCGTAATGTTGTCAGACACTAACAATATGAGACTGTTTGTTCCAAACAAGCACTTTAGTGGACTTTAACTACTTTGAAGGATTAGCTAATGTTACGTTTTACGGCACATTTAACTGAATGAATTAATGGGTTAGTTTGACCAAACTACCATTGGTGATTGTTGTTGTGTTGAGTTTTATTTATTACCTGTCCAGTTTGAAGAGTGTTATTATCTGCTAAGTAAAAGTGAATACTGCCCATTGGCTTTGTTCTGAGATGCTGGTGCTCTAGTGTGACATCCAGTGGCAAGTGAATTTGTATATAACCTTTAATTTGTGACAAAATTATCAACAAAAAGGTTTATTTTTGTCTTCAAAATTCACATAACATCGAAATATACTTTTTTATAAATCTGTAGGTATTATTAGGTCACATCAATTCAACAGGATTATACAAAAATGGTATTCTGATAGAAGAAGTAAAATCTTTTGTCCTCGAATGGGTAAAAGAAGCAGAAGAAAACACTTCAGATAAATATTTATGCTTTACAGAAACACTAGCTCTACTTGAAGTAAAGCTGTCACT